CATTGAGCTCTAGACAGTCAAAGCACTGTCATCTTCATCTCAACAGAAAAACTGCTTAATCAGACATAACTTCGGGGCAGCCAGACTTTCTGTAACTACTAGTGAGTTTTGAAAGTGACAGCCTAAAGGAGAGGGGGGGAAAAAAATTAGAGCTGTCCTACCATCACTGCTACCTAAGTGGCAGCCTCCAAAAAGGGCAGGCAAACAATTCAGGAAAGCAACATCTTGAAATGCTACAGTTGGATTCGCTAGAGGATATTCATCAGAATCCACAGTGAAATAAAAAAGTAGGGAGCCTACTACAAAACACTGATGACATTGTTAATGCTTGGAAGGATAACAAATCACCTGAAAGTGTGGGTTAAACTTGTTAACATTTGCTCTGCTGTATTTTCATAATAAGCAAGAAGTGAGGCACAACAGGAAATCTGTAGAGTGAAACAATTGGTATTGAGAGCCCAACATCTGCTACAGGCAGACCTGGTCCTGCAGACCAAGCACCCACTAACAGCTGAAGGGCATCTTCAAGGTCAATTTTTTGTAAAAGGAATCTACTTCCTGCTCCCCAAGACCATTCCACGATGCAAACATAAGCACTTGAAGTAGAGATTATCATGAGATTTGCTTCAAACACACACTCCTAATCCAAACAAAAACACTTGCATGGATGCACCTAGAGATACAAAACAGGACACCAGCAATACATGCATGTCCATGCATGCAGAGGAATCATATTCTGGAGAACAGCAACTCAGAAAGGCTTAAACTAAACAGTGGTTTAAGACAGCTTTCTGGTTACACTGTTTAATCACAGGTTATCAATACCTTAAATGTTATCAGTATCTTAAAGAACAAAAGTCAAACACCATGTCCTGTTAGGCAATAAGATACTTAATAGTATGGTCCAAAACACAAGGAAGACACAGTACTGCTAGTAGCCTGCCTGAATCACTGTTTCACTCTAAAAAAATCCTAGAAAAACTCAAAAAAAAAATTAAAAAGCATTAAGGTAAAACCAACACAAAGACCTTGTTTAGGACCTGATATTTGAAGCAAAGATCTCAATTCCAGTTTCCCTCCCTGTAAATCCTGCTGCCCAACCACAGGGTCATGGTAATCTGCGAAGTATTCCCCAATACCTTGCCCCATTTTCAACTTTTTTTAATCAGTCGTAACATATTAGAGTGAAAATAACAGGAAAACTAGAGACATTTGTAAAATTTGACCAAAGAAAACTTACATATATAGGTCTTCCAGGGGAGGTGAAGAAGAGTTTCCTTAAAAGATTTTTTAATTAAATTGCCAATTGAAAGTTCAGAGTTCTTTGGTGTTGACAAATTATTCGTTTCTACCAATTTTAACAGCTCAAGAGCTAACATCCTACACAACTGATGAAGCCATCTATTTTCAGTGCAGATAGCCAGTAACACCCAATTAGCAGGATTTTAACCTCTCAAGTTAGATATGAGTGACTGATGTTCTAAAGAAAAACAATCTTTCAGTGTGCTTTCACCAAAAAGCGAATACTGTGCTCCTCCTAGTATCAATAGTAAGAATGCCTGAATAGACAGTAACTGTCTTTAGAATAAGGCTGCCATCTAGTAGCAGAACAGAGTAAATGCAGAGAAATCTCCAGCCAGAATTTGAACTGTGAACCTGCTTGATGGTCTGACATGCTATTACACAGAGATATAAACACTGGAAGCACAGTTCTTCAGAAAAAAAAGGGAGAAGAAATGGCAGAAAGCGAAGCTTGCTAGATAGTGGTTTATAAACAGGCAGTTCTCCAGTACAATCCTAAACTATTCAGTTCACAACATCAAGTTTACCTAGTCAGATCAGTCAACATGTAGAGGCAGTATAGATGTGGAGCGGTATTTTTGTGGTGGTGATATACTTGGTCTTCTTTGAAGTGAATTAAAAAAACTGTAGCCTAATTCACTTTTTCTGAAAGAAGATTGTTTTTCTGTGTGAGGTCTCATGCTACAAAATGCAGTGAAACAAATTAAGTTAGACTGAACCATAAAGACAATCAAAAGCACGGCCTAAAATCTTATACTGGAACTGGAGAGTCCCAAAAAAAAAATTTGCATAAGCAACTTCCTGAAGCGTTACACATTTATTCTTGCTTCTTGGAAACGCTGCAGTTTCTAAGTAAGTCGGAGCTGCAGTACATAGAATTTTACTGTCTCATCATTTAGCTGTCACTGGCTTTATTTTAGTTTCATAGACAGAGATCCAACACATTTTACAACTATACTGTACAATGATTTGCCACAGTGTTTCATCCATTGATCATCTCTAACACACAAAGAAAGAGCTCTTGAGATGGCATCGTGTTGATGCCTATTTCATACAATGCAGACGCTTTCCAGTTCAGTCACTGAATATGTTCCAAGAAATCTATGTCTTAGCATACCACAGCCAGAGTTATCAGGGCTTTTGGAAAATGCTGAAGTGTCCTGTCTATATAGGAAAGAATGGTTTGTTTCTGGTTGGTGGGAAGAGAAAGTCAGGACTCTTGCTTTGCAAGATCCACTGGCAAAGAAGCACTCTCTCCCTAGGATATTTTCAAGGCCACCTGCTTCCATCACAGCTTTCTTGAAGAAACTGGAAGCCAGCAGGGGAAGAAAAATAGCATGACCACAAGTGGGAATGAGCTGACAGCAGAGACCTGGGGAAGACAAAGGGAAGAAGTACAGAAATAGAACTCAACCACTGTTTCAAGAGAGTCTCCACCAATGAAGGAGAAAAAACAGCCTTGCGCTTTCGAGAGGTATGAACTTATTTTTCAGTACTTATCAGAGAAGGCACCAATCTAAATGTAAAAATCGTAAGTTAAATTTTGTCACATCTAACAACACTAACTTCAGTCCTCTGTAGGAACGCAAGGTTAGAGCACCAAACAGACTGCATTAGTAGTTCCCTTTGTCCCTTCTTAACACAGTAGATCTCATTGTAGCACCAGAAGCGACACAAGCCTGATCATATCTTAAGTTTTCAAAATTAGAACTTCCCTTTTGTTATTCTGACTTTAATAACTTACCATGCAAACATATGCTCTCTCCTTAAGAGTTACTCATCTGTCCTTACTACTGGTATCTGTGACAGGCTACAGTTCTGGAAAGCAGAAGTCTACATCATGTAGGGAAGTAGGTCTTGTGTTCACAATTCCGCATTTACTGGAATAAAGACAAATGTAGATTAGTGGTTTAAGTGCACTTCCGCATCCATCCTTCTCGTCCAGTGTTAAAAAGGACCCCAATTATTCCTTAGGAGTTAAGAATTAAAAATCATTTTCCATGTTTCCTGCTTCTGCTTACACAGTTTGCATCCGATCAGTCCCTTGTGGCTTAACTCAAAACTATCATAGCTCCTTCCTTTAACCAGTAACTAATAAACAGTCAGTATTTGATAGTCTAGCTTTATTAATAAAAATCTCTACTTCCACCCAGAGATCAGTTCTGTAGCAGAACCTCATTAGATAATTCTCACTGTTAAAGTAATGTGATACTGAAAAGCATGAATAGTACTGAAGAACTAAGACATTTAGTTGCATTCCCCTTCTTAGAAAAGAGTGAATGAAAGGTGACAAAAAGCTACTATGTCAGATTTTGTGAATGCAGTTGCCTCCTACACCTCCTCCCTCGGGATGTCACAGGGCTTGAGGGTTTGGGTTTTTTTTTGGTAAGACAAAGCCGCCACATATTTACTAATGTAAGAGTTTTGGCTCAAATTGCACTATACCACTTTAACAAAGATGACTTTGTTGGATGTTTTCCCCAAACCTATTTCTACCAAAACAGCTCATTTTTGCACACTCAAGTAGACTTTTGCTTTGGTATTTACAGTCAACAGTCCAAAGACAATACTGCTAAGAATTACACTTTTAAAAGACAGACAAAAAAAGCCGATGAGAGTAAAAGGAACTAACATATCCTTATCTTCTGGAAATACCAGTAAGAAGATGCTAGCTGCAGATCTACATCTCTGATGCCTGCTTCTCTCCCTCTCCAGTAAATGATGGGCCAAAAAAGAGTATGGGAGAAGTACTTACCATCTGGACAAGGCAGACACCCAGCAAACAGTGGTTACAAAACAAATGCTTAGCTCTCAAACTTCAGGAGTCTGACCCCAAAAAGCATATGTGATTTTTAAAAAAACAACTCTATGTAACAAGGAATCATTTTCTAGAGAGAATTCATAAGCAATACGAAGCTGTCAAGCAGAATAATCCCCCCAAATGAAACCACTTTAATTTTCTTCCTATCGAAATTATATCACACCTATTAAAAAAATGCAAATAGTCATCCCTAGGATGAATACCAAATTTCTAAGAGGATTAAAACCAATACACCCTAAGTATCACAAATGTACTTAATTCCCAGTTCAATAAAATACTGGAATATCAATTTATTAAAAAGTTATGTGAACTGTACATACGTAAACTGCAATATAGCTGAAAAATCTGAAATATATAATTTTAAAGGAAAATCATTTATTTCTGAAAATATTTAAAATATTGCATTTCTGGCAGCAGATTTAAAAGAAGTGCTCTGGAATGGGTGCAGTCTCTCTGTCCACTTGTCTAGCATTTGTCTTCAAGGTGTAAAACATATCTGCTTTCTGATTTTTCAAAGCACAATCTTGTGACTTTCTTTCTGACTTGTAGAGATAGAATTCGATTTCCAAGAACAGCAGCAGAATTTTAACAGGAAATACTATGGTCCTTGTCGGTGCAGACAACGCACTTTCCGAGAGTCCACGACACCTTGGAAATATGCTAGCCATTCTGCATATAAATGCATCAGAGTGTGCTTACAAGTTACAGAATAAGTCTTTGATTGATAATCTTTCTGTTTATTTCCGCCAAGGCCACTGAAAATACGAAGGCCTTTTCATCTGAAAGGTTAGCATACATGTCAACTTCTTTTTCTTGTTTCTCTGTAGAAGAAAAAAAAGTCACTATTAGAAGCTTTTTCCATTATCCGAAGTTAATGCAAGTTACATAGTAGTTAATAAATTATGTGGAATGGAGTACTGGAATTGAAAAGAAGTTAGGCAATCAACTCCTATGCAGGGAGGGATTGAGAGAGAGGAGGAAGGAATGGAGGCACACAAAGGTGCTTTAAGAGTCACAGAATTAGTCATCCAAAAACACGACTAAATTTCTGTTCTTTAATGACAAAGAAAGAATGAGTCACTAACATTGTATTGATTCCTGACACAAAAGAGTATTCAAGTGACCCTCCAGTTTTGAGTTTGTGGGTTGGTTTTTTTTTCACTTCTACATAAACACCTCCCAAAACCAAAGAGATTTCACTGTATCCTCATTAAATATGACATTTGTCCCCCTATTTTACATCTAAGTAACAGAAACCCAACAGTTTAATTACAGTGTCCAAGACCAAAGACATGCCCAAGACATAGCAGAAGTCAGGTTCCCAATTTGTAGCCTGTCACAGGCTGGACTTTCTGGGCTTTCTATACCACAAGACTTTCAATCTTATCCCAAACATAGAACAATGCTAACACCTCAGTGAGCAAGGGAAAGCCTCCAAATTCCCTCTGCGAGGTTGGCTTCTTTGAAGGCTACAGATACACAACAGCAAGCCATCAAGAAGTTTCCATACTGCAGTGCTCAAGTACACTAAGTTACACTATAGCATACGACAAAACTACTAGAATAGTACTTTCATAAATACCACTTACTCCAGATCGTGACTATTTATATCCCAGTTTAGCTAGCCACGGGTAGCTGACACAACTCATTAAGAAAACAAACAAACAAACAAAAAACCCCAAAAAACAGCTTTATCAGCAGAAGATCAAGCTTGTAGACACAGAAGAAAGGAATACATATAGAGCTTTAAGGTTGGTGTCTAGCTGTGGAACTCCATCCCTAATCCAAGTTCCACAGTGGCCTGGACTAATTTACCATCACAACACAAGGCTCACGTGACAGACTCCTCTGTCTCATTAACACACAGACTCACACATGCACGCTCTTTTTGACCACAGCACACTGGCAGACTGCCCCACCAAGACACCTCAGGTGAAAGACAAAGGAGCATTCGAAAATAATGGAAAGCACCATGTGGAAAGAAGATCCCAGCATCTCCTATCTCCACCTACTCACATGGTTATTCCTTCAATGGGTCCACATTCATACAACATTTTTAGATTTGGCTTCACACATGATTGTCTGTTTTACAGCTACGGACACCATTCCAACAGACTACCTTCCCTGTGAAGTCAAGTGCTTGTGTTAAACAACTAAGTGGGAGAAACTGAAAAATCCTTTACTACTGTGTTCTCATTTCATACTGATAGAGACACACAGCAACAAAACCCTCTACTTAAAGATTTCTGGACAACTTAAATCGCACATAAGCTCACCTTTCCATGCAAGTAAAATTGCTTAGTGAGGACCTGGACACACAAAGATGCATCAGTTTTTTAGTCTGAAAACAAGAAACTTGCCTTAGCAAAGTAAAACAAATCAAAGCATGTTTAATATTTGGAATGTAAATGATTTCTGCTTGTTCCCTGGCTACACAAGCCAGTATTCTCTAGTATATTGAGTTTGAAATGAAAGCTGAGAAACTGAGTTTCGCTTTAAGTCCTACCCTGTAGTTTAAGACAAATCAGTTTCTACATGTACATTCAGTCTGGGTTGCTCCACTTCCTCCCTCCCACCATGTACAAATTAACAATGCTGGGAGTTGTTCTGACCACAGACACTACGCACACTGGTTATTCCACATTAACCTTTTCTATTTTCATATCTAAACCCCTCCCCTTTTTTCATAATTCCCGATCCAAACAAATCCAGCCATCACCTGAATATGTCAGCACCCAGCAAAGTTAAAAATACTTCCCCCCCTCGGTTACTGTTAACAGATTGTTGACTTCTTAGCAAAAAATCTTTCTCAAGTTTCCCCTCCCCCCGTCCTCCCAAAGTACTGGCTCGTTCTGAGAGACTTCAACTTTAAAGAACTGAAATCTTGACATCAAACAGTATCAGGGATTAACACAGGTTTGCAAGCTTTATGCATTCTTAAGACAATTCCACTTCTCATCAGTAACTAGTGAAGAGCTTGCACCTGCCTGACATTTTATCATATGCTACTCATAGGATACCGTAGTTTCTACAGACACTATTAAAACTTTCCGCTTCACGGTCTTATCTGAAAGTAGTTTTGACTCACTTCCCTATTATTAGCAAAAGACTGTCTTACAGAATCACAATACTGTTTTTGTAAGACATTAAAAATGCTATGTCTTTTGATACACAACTGAGAGGCTATTTAGGTGAAAATATTCAGTCTTTCTGTAGCATGTCTGTCACATCCCCGTATCTCCCGCAACCCACTAGACCCACAGCCCTTAATTTGTGATCTACGTATAAATCAAATATGGACACTCCCCCCTCACAAATTTGGTATGGATTCAAAATCCAAAGTTCCGAGATTCACTGCCCAAGATAGTGCACATTAGTCAAGCAAATGTATGAGTAACACAGTTGGAAATTACTGGAAAAGGAAAACTTGGGTCAAGAAATTTAATTCAGCTTAAGTTTTATCAGGATACCGAAATGTATATATCTTTATAAAAAGATTCACCCCTTGTTAAGTATCGAGTACGCTTTAGTAAGACTCCAGGCCACTCTTGTTGAGTCTCACTTGATGGTAACCTCTTTCAGGAGCAGAATAACCAATACCACTTCCTCCAGCATATGAGGCGTTTTTTGTTTGTTTAATATAATCAAGGCTGTTACCTAGATAACAAGGCAGCCTGGGAGCCTATCTAGCTGTGTATCACAGTCCCACACAGTAAAATAAAAAACATACCACCACTACTACAACAAGAATCAGAATCAGATTATAAATGAAGTTTCTATTTTCAAAATATATTGTAGCATTTCTGACAAAGAAATTAAGTGACAATTTTGACAAACCAAGCCTGCAGTGAGAAGTTGCTATTTTCCAGAGTCATCACATGGCTCTGAAACATGTGATAGGAATATTCTCTGGGTCCCAGCACTCTGCCATATCCCCTCAATCTACATCAGCTTCCTCCTTCCTCCCCCTCCATTCCTTCTTACTAAATCTGCAGGAAAAATAGCTTATTTTTAAAAGCCCTTTTGCTTCTCCTATTCTTAATTGCTGTTGAATCCTGCATCTCTTTGCTCTAATGTGAACCAGTCACGAAGGATACAAAAGAACTAGTCAAAGGCACAGACATAACTGGGAACAAGCACGCTATGTATGAAAAGAGCACAACACAAGCAAGGAAGTAAAGCTACAGATGTCGTGGGTGTCTTTAGGAAGAAAATTTTCACAGCTGGATGGTCTTCAAATGGACAGATTATCTACTCTTGCATGCTATTATAATTCAGGTGTTCTCTGTCCTTCTATTTTTCATCTGCAAATGCATTAGGCATTGCAGAAGCCTAAGAGGCACCAAATATTTAACAGCTTTGCAAGCAGTGGCCTCTTTTCAAGTCTTTTGGGGGAAAGAAGAATAGCACAATCTCCAGTGGCAAGCGTACCCAAAATATCCTAGAAATGTACAATAGGCAAGGAAATAATATACTTAAAGTCTAACACCTAAACTAACGTCTTGCACTCCAGAGCTGACTTTCAATACTATGCAGACTGATACAAGGACTAGCAATGAGTCACACAAAAATCACCTTAATTGGAGTAGAAGAATTAAAGTTGCTTAATATGGTTTTACGCAAACAACACTATCAAGCAGCAGGTTTGGTAAAGGAAGAATATTTCTGAAATTCCCCACTAATTACTCCACACATAGTAGTTAAGCCAATTTTATAAGCCACTTGAAAAGGCAGACATCAAGGTTAACTTGTTTTATAGTAATCACTTACAAAATGATGGGTTCTCTGCTGAATTTATTTTTTATAGCCATGACAGCCATATATATCAACTTTTTGTTTGTTTGTTTTTTAAAAATCTGCCCAATAATCACCACAGTGGTCTACACACCAGAATATAACCAGAGGCAACCAGAAATAAGTCAGAAGTAGGAAAATATCCTAAGCCCACTTATTCCTAACCAAAAAGGTGTGCTGTACTGGTGAGGAGCAAAGATAATTACAAATGGGTGTGAACCCAAGCTCCGTACCAGCTCTGCTAGCAGCAGTCACGGTACCAAGTAAAGGGGATAGTAGGACAGGACAAGAAGATTAAGGCAATCTGCTCAAGTGAGATTCAACTTTAAAAAAACCACAACACCAAACACCAAGAAAACAACACACCACACATGCACCCTTATGCAAAGATCTCACTACACCCATATTTCTAGTCTTCTATCTCAGAGCACTGGCATATTGTCACATTTTGGTGTATGCAGCAAGAGGTTAAAAACATTCAGCTTAGTTTTGGACAGGAAAACATGTTCTCTAAATATCCCTCATGCTTTCAAAGTCTTGCTTTTTGGAGACTATAAAACACGCATTAAGAGAATGGATATTTTCTTTTGATTGCTTAGATTGCTTTCCTCTTTTTCAGGGGACAGGAAAGAAGATTTACTTTTATAGGGCAACCCAACAAGCTTGCACGATTTTTCAAACCAAAGCTGTGTGTGAACTAGACTAGCAGTAAAATCCCTAGAAATGATCCTATAGGTGCTAGACAAAGTCTGGCTTAGATCAGTAACAAATAGGAAAGCTCTGTATTCTGTGAAGCTACATACATCAATAAGCCACTTGCAACGGTGAAGAGATTAGATATTATAAATTTATTCCTATTACACTAAAGCAATTTGCATCCAGAAAACATACAGAAATCAAATTCTATCTTCTCTTTCCACAGCCAAAGCACTAAACAACAACAACAAAATCCCAATTTATACTTTGTTTTTATAGAAAGAAACTTTAAGAATGAACAGATTTACATTAAACAGCAGAGACAACAAGACAGGTTTTGAAAAGTTAGAAGTTAAAGGAAATCACTTTGCAACATGGATTAACACTCATTTTTGTTAACAAATAAGGTGGCAGGGAAAAAACCAATTGCATTTCTGAGTTACGCCACAAGGTATGCTTGATGGTTTCAGTAGTTTTAAGAACAAGATCTTCTGAATATTTATATGAAGTCTTGTTCTTCCCCTCCTATCTGCCTTCCAGCCTTTTTTAGTCTATGCTAAGTTTTGGATTAATTATTCACGCCTAAAATTAATATCTCCCAAACCATAGATAGCAAATGCAGTGTCGATAGGCTCTTAAAAATCCTAAGTGACAGTCACATATTTGAAGGGCTCCAACGTTACTCTAGTGCATTTAACAGTCTCTTTATTGCATAAAGATCAAGACCAGCAGGTCACCAAGGAATCTTAATAAGCCAGGAGACATTCTTTCCTCTGGAGTATTATTCTGTAGAAACATGGGACAAAAATTCAGGTCATAGTAGTGACTCAAGATGCCCTCCAAAAGGTTTCAAGGAACTTTTTAAGCAATCCAATCATCTTAGTCACTCTCTGATAACAGGCATCATTATATTGTTTGTCCTTGCGATATAGAGCAGCGGTACCTCAAAAAAAAGAAACAAAACCAAACCAAAAAACCTACTAAGCACTACAGTCCAATGGCTTTCAACCTACATGTTGAAACTTGATCCGGTGGCTAAAAATACAGACTTAGTTCTTTGTAGTTAGTTCCAATCAGACACTGAAACATAAAACCAGAGGTCTCTACAGATGTGAAACAGTGCCTTCCCCATATTAAGATACCGGGTGTTGGCTGAACTAGTCTAGTTACTTAAATGGTTTGAATGGTATAAAGGTTTGATAAAAAAAATCGTCATACAAAAAGAAAACCCAATGAACATATTTCTCCAGTTCTCATACCTCTTTCTTCCTCGTGCTTTTTCGCTGAGGCACTCTTAGGTCTTCCTCTTCCTCGTCTGCTATGATCTGAATGGCTGTTAGACCTGGATCTTTTTCGGTTTTCTAAGTCTTTATTTACTGCAGAATTTATCTTCTCTCGCTTAACTCTCTCTGTCCGCCTCCTTTTGGCCTCACTCTTGTTTTCTGTGCAAATGAATAGAGATGGTATGATGTAGGGTTGTTTTCATCTTTGTTCTTAATTTACTCTTAGTGCTTACCCCACCCAATTTTTTTTCTTTAAATCTCTTAGCAAAAGTGGTTAGATGTCTATACTTTTACAGAAAAATTACGTCTGCACAATATCCACGGAAAAATTACGGTGTCAGATCCAGAATGACACTTTACTTCTTGATTACAAGCATCAAGCCTTTAATTACTTCAAATGCATTTTGCAACGAGACATTTGCTAGTGTACAAAAAGTTCACAGTTACCCATAATAAGATGGAAAAAACCTGTACAGATCACAGCCATCAAGACAGCCCATTACATGTTTCCACTAGCAAAAAAAAAAAGTTTCTCACACAGGCAAAGAGCAAAGTACTTCATCTTCTTTTGACACTAACAATGAAATCGCTCCCGCTGCTCACACAAATCAAGATGCTGAGTCAACAACGCTGTCAGTAAATGCCACATTACATAGCATACATGTCCCACCAAACCTAGCCTATGACAAGGCCTCATAATACTTAATGCTGAACAGATGTATTGCTTTCCTACACACTAGAGTTTAAAAAAAGAGTATTTATATGAGTTTCACCTGTAAGTTCAGTATGGATTAACGAGCTTGGGTTGAGCAGTCACCACAGTACACTACTCAACACGGACTAGTTGCACATTTGCAGGGCTGCAGCACCATTCTGCAGTATCTATATTGTTGAAAATACTGGAACGATGTTTTCTAAAAGAAGTTGCAGTTAACTTATGAGCACAATACAGACATATATCTTCCTGGGGAACTGGCTTCCTTTTGCTGCAGTTGTCCCATTAATCTTGTACAGACACAGGGTACAAACTGGACAGCAGGGTACCTAGTCACTAATATTAATACAAAAGCTGTATTTCACAGTATCACAAAAAGATTGAGGTAGCAAGCGACCTCTGGAGACCAACCTGCCCAACCCCTCTGCTCATGCAAGACCATCAAGAGCCAGTTGCTCAGGACCACATCCAGACGGCTTTTGAGTATCTCCAAGGATGGAGACTGCACAGTCTCCCTGGGCAACCTGTGCCAGTGCTTGGTCACCCTCACAGTAAAAACATGTTTCCTGATGTTCAGAGGTAACCTCCTGTGTTTCAGTTTGTGCCCATTGCCTCTTGTCCTGTCACTGGGCACCACTGAAAAGAGCCTGGCTCCATCTTCTTTACACCCTTCCTTCAGGTATTTATATACATTGATAAGATTCCCCTGAGCCTTCTCTTCTCCAGGCTGAATAGTCCCAGCTACCTCAGACTTTCCTCAGAGGAGAGATGCTCCAGCCCCTTCATGATCTTCATGGCCCTTTACTGGACTGTCTCCAGTACGTCCATGTCTCTCTTGGACTAGGGAGCCCAGAACTGGACACAGTTCTCCAGGTGTGGCCTCACCATTGCTGAGTAAAGGGGAAGGATCCCCTCAACCTGCTGGCAATACTTTGCCTAGCGCAGCCCAGAATACCGTTAGCTGCCTTTGCCGCAAGGGCGCATTGCTGGCTCGTGTTCAACCTGCTGTTCACCAGGACCCCAGGTCCTCTCCTGCAAAGCTGCTTTCCAGCAGGGTGGCCCCCAGCACATATTCATGCATGGGGTTCTTCCTCCCCTGCTGCATTTCCTATGTACAACGCTGAACTATACAAGAGCTTTGCTCTACCAAATTACAGCTTTCAGCCTCATTTGGTAGCTACCTTATCAACTTTCAAGCAAAACAATAGGGGAGGAGGAAAGAAAATTGACTAACACTTCCAAACAGTACCACAGACATTGCTTAACCTCCTCCACCTTTAAAGTTCAGTTAGCTAGCATAATGTCGTAGCATTCCTACAAGCTGGGAAACTACAAGTATCCTTCAAAACAGTGATACAAAATATCAAATACTTAGTTTCCATTTTGTATTTTGGCAGATAATTTTAAAAAGTAGACATTATAAATCAGATACTTTTTTTTTTTTTTTAAAGCTCTTCCCTGACAGCTGCTTGTTCTGACTAATTCCTACCAGGACTGGAGTAAGTGATAAACATGAACACAAGAAGAATGTTAATCATGCCAGAATGCCTATTCAACCGACTTCTTACTGTGTCCATCAAAAAAAAAAAGACACACAAGTTAGACACAAAAATACACTATTTTTTAATTTAACCATGCAGAGAGACGCAAGACTCACCTTGGTTTTAGATTAAACATATGACCAATTTTATACAAAGTGCCATTCAGGTGTTCATAAATAAGTACAACTCAGCATAACTTCTTCCAAAAAAGAGCATTTTAACTTTCAGAAAACCCAGTTTCAATCAGCACATATTCTGAAATCTGATCCCTTTGGCACCTTTAGACATTTAACTTCAAAACAGGATTAACAGAAAGCTTTCTGTAAGGAGTTATTTTGCATAGTGACCAACACACGCAGCTAGAATATACACAGAATAAATGCCAACATCACAAGTACAAAGGAAGTAAGACTGAAAACACCAGCTTTCTCCCCCCCCCCCAAATTCAAGAAAAATTAACATATTAAAAGTCTACCATGCACAAATTCAAGGGAAAGTGAACTGACAACAGTCAATTTACAGAGAGAAGTAAAATACTCTACCCTTTGCCTCCAAGAAATAAAGGGAAAGAACTGTTGTCCCCTTCTTCCCATCTCTGTATTACCTGTGATGGGTGGTGATCTCTCAGCACGTTTAGCATGCAAGAGTTTTCGACTAATAAATATGTAGCCACAGGGACATGATTTACATGCAACAGGAACCTGGGAAAACAAAAGACAAATATTTCAGATCATTTCAAATTATGACAAAATTCCTGTCCAATGAAAAACAACCTAGTGACTCGCATTTTGTCCTCAGAGATACCTCTTCAAATTCAATCTCTACTGCAAACTATGGCCCGTACTATTATACAATTGTATTTAAATGTAGTAAAAACAGGTTCTCCTGTGAATCACCCACCAAGCCTTTTCTTTATGCAGTTGTTAGAAATCAAGCTTGAAATGTACAGCTGTTGTGACCGCTTTGCACTACAAACCCTTTTCCTCAGACTATCAGGAAGAGAGTGGGGGAAAGTGGAGCGCACTAAAGCAAGGGTGAATTATAATAGAAATATAATTTCTCTTCAGAGGTCTCAAATATCCACAGTCAAATCAGTCAGACATTCCCAAGTTTTACTTCATTTACTTTAAAAAAGATATATATTAAAGAAAAAGTATGAGAGTTAAAACTGTCAGTACATTCTGAATACATTCACTTTCAGAAGCATTTGAAAGCAACTCCTTCAGAGAGCAGGAGCAGTTTTAAACAGGAGGCACAATAAAGCCCGAAGCAAAACAGATGCATTTGTACCACACACTACCACACCGTTGTAGACAAGGCCGGGTGGTTACAGAAGGACCTAGTTAATTCAAAATGCAAATAACCTACCACAGCTAGTCAAAAGCTGACTGCAGGCTGAAGAGTTTGAGAGACTACAGTGCTGCTCCTGATCACCTAAGCAGTCAGGAGCAGTACATTCTCCCAGCATAAGACAATTTAAAACAAGATGAGAAAAGCTGGAAATGCCACATTTACATGAAAAACGGCAAAAATCATACTCTAAGCAATGAAAAAAAGTGATGCTGATAAAATACAAACCTCGGTATCTTCACTTAAAGCCAAGATCTTTTGAGATCTTTTGGAGTAGTAAGGAATACACCATATTGCTTTGATTAGGTTTAAGACTGAAAACACAAACCAAAGCAAGTTTAAACAGAGATCTGGAAGAGATTAACACACATTAAAGTCAAGTCATGTTGAAGCACGACAGTGGTGCAAAAAGCAGGAGTTAATTTCTCAAATGTAACTCTCTAAGACAGGTCTCTACAAGTTTGCCAATGTCTGAAACAAACAGGAGTACCGAACCATGACTGCCTGCTCAATTTTACTGGACATGCAGAAGAACCAAGTTCCAATGTTCTACTGGGTAGGAAAAAACCTGCCAAATTAGTACAGGAATTTGCAAAGGGGAACTTAACCGCTACTCAGAATAAACAAATTATTTTGCTTCCTGTAGCACATCTTAACTCCTGTACTTCACCCTGTGAACAGCTTACAGATAGACTTTTGATACAGGGTTTATATAACTAGAGACTTTTAATTCCCTTTACGGAGACACTGACACAATAAAAACAATTCTAATCAAGGTTTATTGAACCTTAAAGCTCAGAATTTAGCAGGCTTGTGTGCATGCTTATCTCCTTGTTCACAAGTCAGTATAAGAGTACTAAAAAACACTATCTAGCAGATAGTTTGTCTGTATTGTTAAAGTGATATAGGAGTTACATTTAAGCACATTTTTAAACACCTGGGTCTCTCCAATAATTACGTTTCCAGGCTCAGCTTAAAAAAATAAATGTGGGGAAAACCACCCAAGGGGATTGGAGCAGACCCAAGGATTGGAGCAGACCCAATATTCTTCAAACTGTGTTTAACAGAACAATATTGTTCTCGTGTTACAGGTTTTGCATGTAGGTGTGTATGTCACTTGGGGGGGGATTAGGTGGGAAGGGGTTTATCCACTGAAAAATATCAGTTATCTTTTGAAGACCTACACTGATAACATCCTTTTACATAATTATTACGGCAAGAAATAGTACAAACACTATTTTACTCTGTTTAACATTTTCCCAACCGAAAAGAAATTGAGTTTCTCATACAAGAAAGTTTACCTGAAGCTAAATTAAGGAGCGACATTTATTTCTTCTGATTGACTGCAAGTACTTCAGGCTCCCTAGTTTCATGGGCCATGCTTTGCTTGTGAAAATATCATCAAAAACCTTCTTTTTATTTAAAAAAAGTCTAAATGGCAATTACATATCAGCTAAACTACAACATAAAAAGTTTTAAAGCCTAAGAAGTGTTACTCAATATCGCGCTCCAATATTTGTGGCTGTCTAAATATTTCCATGCATGACACTTCTAGCGAAGAAATCAGAAACAAATGCAAAGCCCTTGTTTATGGAAGAATTTAAGAAACGCTAGTACAGGACACAACCACTTAAGAGTCACACAAGAGCTTCCCCACACTCTGCAAAGGGCTGACTGGTACTGTAGGTTTTAGTTTCTTGTCCTTTCTCAAACATTTGGCACTGGAAAACAAGGTCCTATGAGCAATGCTTGTGCTGGGGCAGGACACATATGCACATTAATTCCATGTTAGCCACAGAAGAGCCGCTAACAGAAAATCTACTTTGGCATATGCATATCATGTGTTTTAGTTTTAAAGTGAACAAAGTGAAAGTTCAGCATCAGCTTAAAAAGTCTATAATGTTTGCTTACTTGCTCTTCCTGTTGTTGGTGGTTTGATGTTCACTACATTTATTTTTTTAAAAAACAACCAAAAACCAAAACCAAACCCACCACCACTCTCATATTCAACCTGTCACTCATTTTAATTTCTTCTTTCACCAACTGAATAACCAGAACTTGGCACACAATTTTTTTCCTCAGAAATAGTACTTCAGTGACGTGCTTAACATGTGAGCATTTGCAGTGGTTCATCTATTGCTTAAAACATGAAAGGATGCCCCCCACACAGCTGAACATTCCAAACTCCAGGATGAGTAGAAACACTGTAAAAACTATGCAAGTCAGAACAAATAAGACGACTTTTTTTTTAATCTTTGTAAGAAAAGAAAAGTGGCATGAGATTATTTTTTTTAAGTATAGCTAAAAGAGTGCTTACCAGCCAAGTTTCAGGATCAAATAATAGAAACGTGTTTCCCATGATTACATGTAAAAGCCTCTCCCCCGACCCTGAGCCCCACAGCAGCCTTCTGCAGTGCTGTGCTATTGTTCCAGCAGAGAAGCACTGCTCTAACGAACTGGCCTATTTTTAATAGTAACATCATTACCAGTAAAAAGCGTAAATGAAGACAAGCTCGCGATATAGTAACAGTTCAAATCAGCTCTTGTTAATGTTTAAGTGTAACTAACTCTATTTTGTACACACAACAAAACTGCAATGAGATATAAACAACAGTTCATGAATACATCTGGACTACACCATAGAAATTGCAGCGAAGGTCTCGATTTTGCTGTTTCTAAACTACTCCATGAGAAAACAACACAACTGAACGCTCTCCTGACCAGCCTTAGGCACGTCAGTCATCCAAAGGATAAAGTGCATTGTATAAATTACTAAGTTCATTATATTTTTAATAAATTACAAAGTTACTAAACAATACTAGCACATAAACAAACAATTCTGAACGTCCCTTCAGCATAACATAACTATTACGCTACCCTGCACGAGGAACACGACATTTAATCCGCGTTCCAAGCAGAGGCTGCAAAGGCAACAATTACTTCATATAAACACTGCTGCACAGCGGCACGCAGGCAGTTTGATTCCCCCCTCGCCCCCCCAAACCCAAACAGCTTCTTGCACTGCTGTTGCAAACGCACGATCTGCAGCGGTGGGTGTCAAGAAGCCACCACCACCGACGCGCCAAGGAAACAGGAAGCGGGGCGGCGTGCGCTCGCGC